GCCATCTCCGCTCACTGCAACCTCTGCCTCCCAGGCTCACGTGATCCTCCCACCTCAGCCTCCCTAGTAGCTAGGACCACAGGTGCATGCCACCACACCCGGCTAATTTTTTGTAGTTTTTGTAGAGATGGGGTTTTGCCATGTTGCTCAGGCTGGTCTCGAACTCCTGGGCTCAAGCTATCCTCCTGCCTCGGCCTTCCAAAGTGTTGGGATTACAGGCGTGAGCCACTGTGCCCAGCCAACTTCACCATACTCTCTTGCTCCTGTCTCTGCAAGGGATAGAATTTCCATTGCAAGCCCAAAGTGTGGACAAGTATTTTAAGAACACAGGCTTTGGAGTTAAACTTTACCTGGGATGGAATCCACCCACTTTGTGAGTTTGGACAAGTCATTTTGTGGAGGGTGTTTCTTCATCTGTAAAATGGAGATAAAAATACCTGCCTCAAAAGAGTTTTTAGAAAGATCAAATGGCATAATTTATGTAACATGTCTAATACTATCAGTACCATCAACTGAGGAGTATAAAGAAGTCAACATTCTGCTCCTGTCCCTCTTCTCAATGTGTTTGGTTATATAGTAGTTGCTCACTAAATGGTTCTTCCCTTTTCTCTTTTTTTTTTCTTTTTCTTTTTCTTTTTCTTTTTTGAGGCAGAGTTTTGCTCTTGTCGCCCAGGCTGGAGTGCAATGGCACAATCTCTGCTCACTGCAACCTCCGCCTCTGGGATTTAAGCAATTCTCCTGCCTCAGCCTCCCGAGTAGCTGGGATTACAGGTGCCTGCCACTACGTCCAGCTAATTTTTGTATTTTTAGTAGAGATGGGGTTTCACCATGTTGGCCAGGCTAGTCTTGAACTACTGACCTCAGGTGATCTGCCTGCCTCGGCCTCCCAAAGTGCTGGGACACAGGTGTGAGCCACTGTGCCCGGCCCCCTTTCTTCTGTTTTGAATTAGCAACTTAACATAGTGAACTGAGCTAGGAGATCAGTGAACTTGATTCTAGTGCTAGCTCTGCTGCTTACTCTCTCCATTTGTTCACCTCTTCATTCACTCAACAAATATTTATTGAGCATCCATTACTATGTTCCAGGCACTCCTTTCGACACTGGGGATATGGCAATAAGAGTGAGTTGTGTTAAGTTCTATTATGACCTTGAGTAAAATCAGGCTGAACCCCAGTTTCCTCATTTGGAAAATGGTGATAGGAACACATCACTGAATTAGCGAAGAGTACTAAATGAGATAATATACACATAGTGCCTACTAAGACATTGTCATAGGTGCTTAGTAGTTTTTAGTTTCTCTCTTTCATTTAAACTTCTCCACCCCTCTTCTGTGAAGCTTTCCCCCAGTTAACTTCAGTGGTTCTAATCACTCATTACTCAATATGCAGTCTGCTTCCATTCAACAAATGTTTAGTGAACTCCCACAATGAGTAATGCACTGTGCTAGTTGCTGTAGGGAATGCAAAGGGCCTACCTCTATAGTGCTACCAGTCTAAGTTGTAGGGATAAGACAAGTACACAATGCTAAAATAAGGCAGTATATAAGAGAAAGTTACACAAAGAATATTACAGAAATTTAAAGGAAAATGCTGTCATGTCCAGTTGGGGTGACCAAGCTACACGGTGGAAGTTATATTTGAAAGGACTTCAAAGGATGGGTAGGATTTGAAATTGCAGGTGAGCATAAGAGCTATCAATAACTGAGCACCTGCTACATGCTAGATATTGTGCTAGACATCCTCTGCGTATTTGCTAAACTTTACAGCAATCATTTCAGTTAGGTGGCTTTTAACTACATTTTATGTGCAGATGAGGATATGAGATGCAGGGAGGTTTGATGATTTCCCTAGGGTCTACATCCAGTTAGTGCCCATGCCTGATATTTGAACCTAGATCTGACTCTGAAGCCCAGACTATATCCATTTGTGCTACACAGCCTCTTGTGAACAAAGGCACAGATGTTGGAAGGTGCTAATATATATATAGAACAACAGGTAGATCACTTTGGCTGAAGCACAGGGAATTATTAGGAGATAAGCCTTCACATGTAAGCCTACTGAGTTAGGAAGGCAGTATGGAACAGTGGTGATTTGGTATGTGTACTCTGGAGTCGATTTGCTTAGGTTTGATTCTAAGCACTGTCACTTAACTAGCGGGATATTGGGGAAATTACCAAACCCCTTCTTGCTTCAGTTTCCCCATCTGTAAAATAGAGATATAACAATACTTAATTCATAGGGTTGTTAGGTGGAATGAGTTAACACATTGGATAAATTAACACACTTAATAGAATGTCTGGCATATAATATTGCAATAAGTATTATTTCTTATTATCGACTACTAACCTGGGAGGCTTAATGGGCTACAAGGAGCCAGTGGAAATTTTTGAGGAGGGAAGAATTTGAAATCATGAATTGGACAACATAATAGAGGGTAAGTTACAGTGGGGGAATATCTGGAATCTAGAAGGCCAGTGAAGCTGTTGCAGTAGTTTTGGGAAGAAATGATAGGGATCTGGACAACAGCAGTGGCAGGAGACAAGAGGATTTCAGACAAGGCAGAATCCACGAGGGTTTGTAGTATGTGAAGGAGAATTTGTCTTAGATCAGTATTTTGCAAACTTTAGTGTGCTAGCAGTCATCTGGGGAATCTTGTTAATTTGCAGGTTCTGATTCAGTTGGTTTGAGATGGGGCCCGAGATTTTGCATTTCTAACAGACTCCCTGGTGATGCTGCTGCTGCTGCTCCCGGTACCACATTTTGAAGAGTATGGTTGTAGATACCCAAGAGTATAGTGACACTCTGAACAAAAATAGATAATATACAAGGAGGGTTAGCTGGATGAGGGCCTTAAAAGTTGATTAATTCAGTTTGGGACATGTTTAGTTTGTGATACTGGCAGGCCATTCGATAGATATCCAACAGGCAATTGGACTTTAAAACCTGTACTTCAGGGCTCAGAAGAGGTCATGCCTAGAGATGTTGCTTTAGGAGTCATCTGCACAGGGCTACAAAGACAGAATCTTGGGTAATGCCTGTATTTAGTGGGCAGGAAGAAAAGGTAGGCTGTAATAATGGCTGCAGTCTGGGGTCTTTTTTTTTTTTTTTTTTTTTTTGAGACAGAGTTTTGCTCTTGTCACCCAGGGCTAGAGTGCAATGGTGCCACCTTTGCTCACTGCAACCTCTGCCTCCCAGGTTCAAGTGATTCTCCTGCCTCAGCCTCCCCGAGTAGCTGGGATCACAGGCATGCACCACCATGCCCAGAAAATTTTTGTATTTTTAGTAGAGATGGGGTTTCACCATGTTGGCCAGGCTGGTCTCAAACTACAATCTGGGATCTTTGGAAGATCTCAGGCTGTGAGGAAGCTGGCCCCAGGTGAAGGGCTGGCTGGAGACCATGCCCACTGGCTATCCCTTCATCCACTCCTGGGAGCCAAGCCTCTTTGAGCTGATTCTGGCTTCATGCTTCCCCTTGTTGGTTCCTTTTTCCAGGATTTTGGTCAACAGTATAACCCATTTGCTCCCAGCTATTTTTTTTTAAGGTTGCAGTCCCTGTTTTTATTGTGTGTTTTTGGCCCTGCCTCTACCTGTTCCCCTTACTGGCCCAAGCCAGGCAGAGCAGTGTGCATGTGTGTTTCTGTGAGCACATCTATATATGTGCAAGAGCCTGCCTGCTGATGGGAAAGGGGAGGGGCATGGATCCAAGTCGCCTTTCCTGCTGAGGGCTAGACAGAGAGCAGGGTCCATTAGCTGAGGCCCTGGAAGTCCTGTCTTTTATACATGGAGCTGGAAGGCCATAGTTCCTGACTCCATAGCTCATGGAACATTGTTGCTAATTCTTGAAGAGATAAAGGGGAGAGAGTAGGGGATCACATGGCACCTCAGTGACTACAGTGACTTCTGATACCAACTACCTGGAGTTAGGCCAAACTGCACAGGTTAAAAGCACAGTCCTCTACAAGGCTGCTCTTCAGACACCAGCCACAATTTTGGGGGTTCCCACGACAATCCTCACTTCAGAGCAAGTAGCTACAAATTCAGGGATTTCCACATTCCCCTCAGATTTTTTTTTTTTT